CAAAAAGTACTCGACTACATCACTGGTAGAAGGATATTGTAACATCAGAAGTTCTAGCTTTTAGGTGTGGATCACTCCCTTCCAAGGCAGGGTATACAGGACAAGAAGGTTGCATTGGCTAACCTGTTTTCAAAAAGAGCTGTCATTGGGCAGGATTTAAAGTATGACGGTGACTGAAGACACGGATACCAATTCTCTCAAGTTTTGTACCACTGAAAATGCTTCAGCAGTGCCAAGCGAGGGATACGTCTTTAGCAGATCGTCTTTCTTGTTTGTGGTTTCTCATCATTTGTTTTGCCTTTGTGCAATTTCTCCAGCAATGGCAAAAGACTTAATCGAGGGCTGTAAGTGCCCTACCCCGGGCTGCGATGGAACGGGCCATGTCACTGGACTGTACCACCATCATCGAAGGTGAGAGAGAATGAAATGAAATGTTTGAGATCTGGGAAATTTCTTGGATTTGGGTGCTACCCAGTAACTTCTGTAGATGCAGTGTTGCAGTAGAGTCTGTCACAAGTCTCTGCAAGTCCCTGCCAGTCCATCACAAGACTATTACTAGTCATTTTGTCTGGAGTCAGTTCACAAACTACTCAAATGAACTGCAGTGAAAGCATTCCTTTGACGTTGCTTACCCCATGGCCTATGACTGATCTTGTGAAGGGACTTGTGACTAGACTTGTGAAAGGACTTGTGGTGGACCCAACTCCAACACTGTGTGGATATCTAACAGAAAGTGGCCCATTTGAAATGGCCTGCCATGTACAACTTTTGTTTTTGGCCTTGAAATTCAGCATTACACCAGTATATTGCCTTTCTTTCCCCTCCTAGTCTTTCTGGCTGTCCGCACAGAGACAAGATCCCCCAGCAACGTGAGTACAGAACCATTAGTAACTTTTCCAGTTTCAACTGATAGTCCAGTAATGAAGGAGGGAAATGTGCATCGTTGAAATTAGTCTCAAAAGGGGTCATGCCAAAAATACTGTTCCAAGTAAGTGTGTTGGTTATTAGTATGTGAATAAATCAGCAGCATCTAGTTTCACATTAATTTCTGTGACCAAATAAAAAACAGGGGTGAGAACGGAAGTTCAGGGCAGGGAGGGCAAGGAGGACCTTTACGTTGTGGCTGTGCTGAGCCAAAGCTGTACAGTCGCACGCTGACATGAACGAGAAAGCCACATTTTACTTGACTATTAATATATGGTTATTATTAGTTTATTTGTATTCACTATTTTTCTGACTCTTCTTTTTTCTCCACAGTACTGCAGATGCACGAACATGTCCTGAAGTAAGCCATTCACAATACATATTCATGTCAATTAGAGCACCTCTGACACCCCCTGTGTGTTCTGTCAGCCCTGACTCCACCCCCCCCATCTACATGTACCTTGTCCTGAAACTTACATGTCTGTACACTCACACACATGTGTATTGGCGGCATCGCATGCAAATCCTGCATGATCATGAGATGTGATTTCCGATTGTTTACCCTTATTCCCTTGTAGGTGGAGTAAAGAGGGAGGACATAACCTTCCTCTAATCAACCATTCATCTTGGTTTTCAAACGGATATGCTTTTGTAGGGCCCGGGAGAGTTGAAGCAAAGTCAGGAACGCAATGCAGGTGGTTGTCGCGACCAAACAAGTTTTGTCAGGTTAACTTTTTTACATTTGCCATCATAAAGGCTTAAAGGGTGTCCACGGCCCCGTTGTCATTGTCGCAAGGTTGCCGAAACTGAGTCACCTCAGACAGGCACCCTGTTTGTATTCACTTGACTTTCATGAAGAACTGACACTCGCATAGAACTCTCCACCTCCTCGTAATTTTACAGAATTGGTGCTCTACAGATCTTGCTCCACTTTTAAGAAAGCTTTATTCAGACAGAACGGTTTGAATTTCAGGGCAGAAAGGATGGCAATCTTACAGGCATAGATGTCGTTCAGGTTTACTTGTCGGTTAACTTTTCATGGACACATTTTTCATTAGGTGTAAATGGTAGATGCCCCTTTGTTTTTTTCAGTTTTTCCCAGCAGCAGGTGCGTAGGGCTCGACTGCTCAAGGAGCTGGAGCTGGCGCTGCTCAGGGCGCACCTGTTGAGGTTGGGAATCAAACCCGAAACTGTAGACCGTTTGATGGGCAGGTACAGGAATAACACCCCTAGTGGGGTGGTTCAGACTCGGCATTTGTGTTCCATCGTTCAAGTGAGAAATAGAGGATGACCTTTTTGAATGTTCCAAGCTTGTTCAGAGTTAAGTTTGGGAATTTTCGTTTCCTTCGGGAAGTTAGGATCTTAGCTTATGTCAGTTTCAGGTCTTGTGCTGCCGGATGGGAAAGTTTGTTCCATTGTTCTGTTTGAATTGTCAGCCTTCTTGGTGAAACCTAGCAGTGATTTCGTAGATCATTTGCTCACTAGACAGGCCTTACCTTTTCAACAAGTATTAAAGACACACTCTGTTGTGAGGCTTAGGGCTGGAGTAAGAACATTTACCCTGGTCAAAACCTTCACATCTTGTTGTTGCACTTCTCTTTAGTAGGTTTCCGATTGGATTAAAGGTGAAGCTTAAAAGTTCTGAAATGACCTCACAATCATTTCATGTTTTATGTACTACACATCTAAGAGTTTTTATTGTTGCTTACACGACAGGCCTTCACTACATGTGTGTTTCTGTTTTTTTTTTTTTTGAGCATTGATTTTGGAGTTTCATCGTGCATGACTTCTGTGTTCCGTTCCAAAGTTTCTTAGTATATCCCCATTTTTCTTGATAGTTGTTCTTTTGTTTGTGATGCTTCATGTTGCTGTTTCTTTTTCTTTGGCATTGCTGTTTACTCTCAACTGAATGTCTCTCGCTTCTGTTTGTCAAGTGTGTCGGAGCCCTTTCAAAGCAAAGTTTGTTTCATTCTCTCGTTATTTCAATGCTTCATTGTCTAATGGCACTAAACCAGAAGAGAGAGAGAGTGGGGAAAACCGTTTTGAAAGTGATGAACTTGTCAAAGTAATCGGGAGCAAACTGACTAAAGTTGTATCTTCCTGAACATTCAAAGGTGTAGCCTCGGAAGGTTTTGAACATTTCGATATTTGAGAAAACACACAGACCACTGGGGAAAGACGGAAGTGTGGAATCGAAAAAGGACTAGCAGCCCCCGGGAAGGTGCTAATGACATCACGGCTTTGTGTGGTTGTGTCACCCGACAGCCCACTTCCATAAATGGGTCTTGCGCTTGTCTGTAATTTCAGATAGGGGGACCCACCGAAGTAACCATGCAAAAGACTGATGCACATCAGCAACTTATTCTGAGCTGCACACCTCCCATATAGTATTAGTTATTAAAGGAGTGCAAGTGGAACACCGAATAGTGTATTTCGGCCTCGTGGTATACGAGACACAGATGCACTACATTATTCTGTGTTCTTTGAGTGCAAGTGTGATAATGAATTTATCATCAAGCAAACTTGACATGCAGTAAAGATGTTATAGGGGCCTATTTTGTATTTGTGCATTTTGCTTTTAGCGTACAAATAGCGCAGTGCGATGAGTGAAAACAGCGCATTACGTGGGGTTTGATATGAACCATGCAATACAGTTACATGTCACACTGTTTGTTGCCATGGATCGACCAATCAGAATTGAGAATTCAAGTTTGCCTTGAAGATAAACTACCAAATAATTCTCATCAGTAGGAAGAAGACTCGTGCGGTACTTTTTCTCAGTTTCTGCTCAGTTTGCCTTCCATTACATTTCCTGACTGACTCAGGTGCAGAGGAGAAGTCAATGAACAATTGTTCTGCTTGAACCCCCCTCCCCTTTTTTTCCCCTATTAAGCAGATGCCCGACACCGGGCTGCACAGGACGGGGGCATGTCAATAGCAACAGGAACTCTCACAGGAGGTGAGTCCATGTCCAGACCTGCATGTCGCAGCAGCACAGGGTTTGTTTGTAGTCGTTTTCCAGATGACCCTTGACAGGTCTTTTGTATTGGGAGGGTGGAAAAATTGAATTAAGAGCATGCAGCGTTTTTAGTCCTAAAGTCATTTTGACTAATTGTTAAGAGCTGCTAGAAAACTTGCTAAGTCAGGATTGGAACCTGTAGTGATTCAGTTGGCCTTGCTAAGCAAGAGATTTGTGGTTATGCTCTGTGGCCACTTCTAAAAAGATCGAAGAAGCAAAGTAACTGCTTATCAAATTCACGTGCTAAGCTGATGGGAACCAGCCACAGGAGGTATGCCGTGATTGTCTACTTGTGGCTGGTAACCTGTAAACATTTTCTAAGCTTTGCCAATTTGTGGAGAACTGCTCTAGGCAAATGCCAAAGGGAGGCGAACTGGAAATTGGGAAAGGTTCACCGCGTAATACGCCTGGCTTGAAATTTGTTGAACTTCTGCAAATTCGTAGCACAAGCATGCGATCTGACGTCACAAAATCATGTTCGTTTATGCTCTTTTTAAAAGTCTCAGACTTGAGCAGATGCTAAATACCGTGTACAGCATAGCATGCTGGAACAAACTTCAAAGTCAATCTTGTTGCATGTGCACAAGTGGGTTGGGGTTGGACGCACTTGTTTCTTGGTTAAGCACAAGGTGGTTTGTTATTGTCTGTTACAGAGAGATTCAATAGTTTCGGGTTGCAAGAGAACGGTACCCCACCGTTTTGAATAGGAGCTGTCTGTCTATGGGTTTATATGTCTGTGGCTGGTACTGGCTGACGAAAGGCTTGATCACAACCACCATCTTCAGCCAGTACTCCTTATAATTCTGAAACAGATTCCAAGGGAACCTGCTCAGGTGTCCCTTGTGGTTTTGCATGTACTGTATGCGATAAACATTGGTTGCTGATAAACTTGCAGAGAGAAAAGTGATTTGGAATAGCATTTTCCTGGTGAACAGGCTTGATTTTGATGTGGAGTTTCACGTGTCGGATTGTTAGTATAGTCAGATGCAACAAGGCTTACCCCAGCAACAATGCTTGCCTTGTTGGAAATTGCTTCATGTTACCCACTGAGTTAATTCTTACCACCTCTGTATGCGCTTGAGACTTTTCCCATCTGTTCATGCATGCACACTTTGAAATGTAACGTTTGGATGGACCATATTAATGCATGTGTATAGTCCCTGGGTAACACGATAGGTTGAAGGGGGAATTTTTTCGTACTCGGTGAACAGTTTTGTAGAGAATTTCACAACGCTCAGTTCGTGTCAGCCACCCTGCATGATTTTCTCCATCAGTGAAGCCCTTCAGGTACCAGGTTGTTGGAATTTGTGTCTTGTAAATTACACCCAAATCTGATTCAGAATTGACCGGGAAAAGAAGCTACGCATGTCTTCCATTCTTGTTTTTGGTAAACTGAAATTATCATGCTGTCTTTCTCTACTGCATTCCATGGACTATTTCCCGCATGTACCACGGTCCTCACCTTGTCAATCGTCTTTCTCTCTTTCTGCCCTCTACCCCGTGGTTGAATGGCCTCTTTTGCCCCATTAGCTTGTCCGGTTGTCCCATTGCTGCGGCGGAGAAGCACGCGGGCGGTAAACTACAGCAGCCGCCGCCGCAGCAGCAGCCGCAGCCGTCCGGCGAGCCGATGAACCGGTTTGATGGCATGCCCCATGTCGCGACCAGCCGACCGGACCACGTGGTGGCCGACATGCTGAGCAGGTAACTTTGAAGCGTTAGGGATGGATGAGCTCTCTGGGAAGTTTCCCCTGTGTACTAAGAAATAATTCAGCAAACAGTACACCTCTAGGTAGCCATTATGTACTGCATCCTGAAGACATCAAGATCACAGTCACAATGTCAAGTGCTAGAGAAGGAAGAGCCTCCTGTTACTGCACAGTTTAGTACTTGGCTATTGATGTACCTGTGGCGATCCAGATCAAGCTTAAAAGCATGTGTGCAAGTTGGCGGGTGACATTGCTGAGAGGACAGACTTCATGTGTGGGTATTACTTTTCCCAAATGATCTCCAATATTTTGGCCTTACGCTCATCAAAATATATAGACTGTGGTTAGCGATGTCCGCATATTTCCACAATCTAAACCGGATATCAGTTTTAACAGCATAGGATTATTTTCTGATTTTGTTCACCAGGCTTCTGGTGTCATACATGTAGTTGATAGTGATGATTTTTTTTTCTGCTTAAATCACAGATCAGTGTATGTGAAGCAGATGGAGAGCGGCTACCAGCCCTTCACGAATTCGGGTCCACGGCCCAACCTACCCGGGGACGTCCGGTTCAGCAAACCGGAAGGTGTTCTGGCCTTTGATGCCAAGGTGGCTTACAACACGGGTCACAAGCGCATTGCCCCTAAGATCATCACAGCCAGCGACTTGAGCCCGCCAGTCAAGAAGAAGGTCCAAGCTGGGGACTACGACCCCAACGACTGCACCATTGACTCCACGTCCGCCCGCATGGCAGCCACTGCCCTCAACCTGTCCATCAAGACGCCCCAGCTGGCCCCCTCGACGCAGTTGACCATCCCCATGCAGATGCCGCCCCCCCCCCCCCCCCCCCCCCCACCCCACCCCCNTTGACTCCACGTCCGCCCGCATGGCAGCCACTGCCCTCAACCTGTCCATCAAGACGCCCCAGCTGGCCCCCTCGACGCAGTTGACCATCCCCATGCAGATGCCGCCCCCACCCCCACCCCACCATCAGCACCACGCCCCGCAGACAGCCCACCAGCACCATGCCCCCCAGCCACTGACCGGCCCTGCTGCACCGGCATCGCAGCGGGCCATGGAGACAGTCAAGGTGGATAGCAACGGCACACTGGACCTCAGCATGAAGTCCAGCAAGTCTACCGAAGCGGCATCCGGCCCTGCCCCGGTCACCGCACCTGGCCCGAGTGCTCCCTCCCCGGCTTCGGTGCAGTCGGCGGCCAGTGGGCTGATGCAGCTGAGTGTGCCCCAGCCCGGGGTGCAAAACCCAGTCCCCCCCTTCATCACAACAGCACCCACCATCCTACAGATCCCCCGAAGCTACGGCGAGCAGCCCATGGACTTCTCCAGTGTTGGCAAACCACAGAAAGCCAGCAAGGCTCCCATTAGTTCGGTTTCATCGTTCCCAACCAATCTGACAACCAGCTCCTCAATTACCGTCGCAGCTATGCTGAAGACCTCCAACCCAGATTATGATGACCCAAGGTATCTTGTTTATTGGCATTAAAATCATTTTAGTCTTGAGGTCTCCTAGTTTCATTTTCATCAGATTGGCTTGCCATTTATGACATAATTGCGCTTTCAAGATCAGAATTTAATTTGGTTAGTCTTTAAAACCTTCATATGGTGAAGAACCAATCCTAATCACCCTCCGCCAAAACCACATCAAAATGTAAAACCTCTTTTGTATTTGTTTACGATCTTCATCATTCCATGTCACAATAACCATATAAATTTACCCATTTCATTTTTTTTACATTTCACATCTTTTTCACTAATGCAAGATAATCCAGTCCCATGAAAATTTCAAAATGATCGAACTGACTGCATCATTAATTGATTGCTTCATTAATTTTGGCCCCACTTTTATGTTCACTTCAAAATTTCATAAATAGCGAGAAAAAAATCTTTAATACCTTATAGCAAGCATAGTTAATTTTAGTGATTTCCTCCGTGCACAAGACTGCCTGGTTTACCAGTGCAATAACTCATTAACAGTCCCCCCTCCTTTCCCTCTCCCCCCTGATAATTTGCCTCTCTCTAATTTGCCCTCCCCCCCGTCTTTCTCTACCGTCCCTCGCTTGCTCGGACTGGCCACACTCACAGTAGTGGTGCGTTCATGCAATTTAACAAACCCCGCAAAATGAAGGGCGGCCTCGATGGGAAACGCGAGCATCTGAGGTAAGGTCCCACCGATCCCACCGCTGACACCGCACGGCGCCCCTCTGTGGGTCAGCTTCGGCCCCTGCATGCTGTCAAACCTCCTCTTGGTGGCAATGTGGAATAACCTTTGTCTGTAGTTGGGTTCTTAAATTGCATGAACCGTTCAAAGGGTGTGTGTGCAGGGGAGTAGTTTTTGTTTTTTTTTGGGGGGGGTAAACATGCTTTTATGTCTACCTACATTTCCATAATTGTGGCACAAAAGGCTATGTGTACACGTACCGGTAGGCACGCCAGTACAAGTCACTAACTTGAACCTTTTTCTTTTTGTTGCTAATTTTGCGTTGGCTTTGTGCTCTATCGCTGTGTGCTTAGTGTATCTTTTATGTGTATGTCTCTAGAACGGCACCTGTGAGTCGGCCATCTTTTCACCCACAAAGGTCTCTTTTCACTCCGTAAAGAATACAAGTACATGTACATTCCGTACTGTCAGCTGTCTACTTTTGTGCATCATTGTCTCTTCCGCTATGTGATCCTTGTGCCCTCCGTGTTCTGGTGATGATCCTTTTGTACTAGTTGTTTCCTCTGTAGTGTACTTCCTTTCATCAACTTGGTCTCTCTGAAAGTTTTGTAGAGCAAGTTTTTAGAAAAGGACTATCAGTACATAAGGCAAATGAGCCACTAGACACACCTGTCTGTCATCAGCAGAATGTTTTTACCCTAACACTGGTAGTCTGAGAAACCGCAGGGCTCTAGTGGCATGCACCTGCACCGGTACGTCCTGGGTAACATCTTTCAGGAGATGTCCATGTTCATGTATGTCCTGGGACATTTGTACGTAAAAAAAAACGCTAGTATGTGACGTCTGTGGACTTGCAAGACCCTGAGCGGACAACTCATGGGATTTGCAAGTCTTAAGGTGCATGTTTTGGGACATGCTGTACGGACCCGTTGTAGGGCGCGCATTGTACATTGACATGTGCCCCGCTTGTACATGGAATGTGTCGTATCATGTTCACATCCTGGAATATCCTAGGACATACAGTACACGTACATCACCCTTGATAGTGAGAGGTTAGTTTTATGCTTCTAAGTGTTAAAATTGCATATCACACAGGCATGCCACTTTGCCTCGGATCTGCTGAGTTCCTCGTGGTTTTTATTTTTTACACTCATGCCATTGAAAACTGAAAAAAACACTCAACAAGTTCTTGTAAAGATTTGAATATCCTCTTTTTTTGCATGCCTGATTGCAAAGTTTTAATTTTAATAGCAAAATTGGATTCTAATGGTGGTTTGTCAAGCTTGTCTGGACTCTTCCATACCTTGGGCGGGGTAAGGCAGCAAAGCTCACCATGCATTCTCAGCTCCTAACCTCACCAACCTGCTTCCCCTCTTCACAGTTGTCCCACCCCCGGCTGCGATGGATCAGGCCACGCCACAGGAAATTACGCCTCCCACAGAAGGTATACACGCTGCGGTTGCTTCTCAAAAACTTAACACATGGCTTGTTCAGTTTCCGTTTACAAGAAGGCTGTCTCTTTAACATGCTCCGCTCACCACAGATAGCCCACCTGCTTGAAAGATGAAGCCACCAAAAGTGAAACATAGTTTCAAACATAGCTAAGTCTTTGGTGAACTTTCGCTCGAAAAGCGCACCGAGATTAACACTTGGCCATTGCTGCGGAAAAGACCAGTGTGCAAAGCTTGGCACGTGATTAACCTTGCGTTGGAAGAGACCCTTTGCTTGACATGGATTGGTTGTACTCTTTACCCAGTTGTAGATGTACACATTCAGATTGGATCTTTAAAGTGCAAAATTAAAACCATCCCGGCTTTTGACATGTTATCAGCCTGTGGGTTTTGCCCCAACACTTTCTGCCAGTAGACGGGCAGCTCATACGTCAGACCTCTTTGAAGTGATTCACTGTTTGAGTGTACTTTTGCACTTCCAAGAGTATACAGTGTTGTCTTTTGTGGCAAACTTGGGGGCAACCGACAGAACTGGCTTCCGCACTGCGCTCTGCACATGCTCCGTTTGGCCCTTCAGAGTATTGAAGCAAAACGTTGTCACCGATATTCTGATTGGACAGTTGTGGGTTTCAAACTTGTGAGCTCTTCAAAGCTACTAGTACCATGAAACTAGCTCTGAATTTAGCAAAATGACCGACTGTTCTACTCTTTATGGTGTTGTTATGTAGGCCTACCTTATGCAATTAATTTCACGTATTTCCATGCGCAGACACGTTTGTTTGAATGTACCGTGTTCACATGTTGTATTTTGCCTCTTCGGAGGAGGGACCACTGTATCACAGTCACAGGTGCAGTTTTTAGAGTAGTTATGGATCAGAGTCGCCCAAGCCTTAAAATGAAGTGCCAAGCTGGCTCTAGCTAGCAGAGATCCAGCCAGGGCCAGCCCTAAGCAGTGGTGTTTTGAGCTGGGGGCCCGTTTGTTTTTATTAACTTGGCCATCAGGACTCTCTCTGTGCAAGTTTGTGCTTCTAAGACTTTAGAATGCCGCATTGTATCAAGTATTTGCCATTAAGAGCTTACACTGCCCATTCTTAATTGGGAAGGTGAGGTAGATAGATACCCAATTGAGTATAGCCTGGGGCCATGCAGTTTTTGCGGCGTTGTCAAGCCTGATTGATCATGTAGACGTGTCTCACCAAGAAACCTTTACCTGCCGAACACCATGCAGCGCGCACCTGTACCTGTATGGATTGTCGGGGCCAACGTTGTAGTTGTTGTGTCCCTTGTATGTAAGTCTTTCCAAGTCCATCGCAAGTCATCTGTTCTTAAGCCAAGTTGTGAGCCATTAAAGCGAACTGTGACAGAAGACAATTCCTTGTCATTGCTCACCCCTGTCACTTGTGACTGGTCTTTTGAAAGGACTTGTTAAGGGGCTTATTAAGGGGCTTGTGAGATAGAGGACTTTTGACTGCAACGCTGGTCCGGGCCCCACTTCGTAGAGTTGCCAAGCACGCCAGATATCCTTATCTCGGATACCATTTGCCTGGCAACAACAGGGTGCCAGGCAAACTGCATTTTTGTGCATGCCGCCTCACCCTGGTCCTCTGCCATTTTGGGCTAAGTGTGTAACATTGCTGAGACATTTCCTGGACCATTGCTAAAATGACCCGCTTTACAAGAATCAAGCCCTAGGATTTACGTACATGTGCCAGGGGAGTTTTCCCAGCAAAGTTTTTATTTTTGTTCTCAAATGCTCTGTGACATTTGGCCCCTGTTCCACTCCAAAGCTTTTCAGAAAAGGGCATTCTGCTAAATAAGAAAAAAAAAGGAAAGGAGTCACTGTTAAATCTCTGTGAAGTTCACCCCAGTTTGCATCTGCTCCGGTCCGTGTTTGTTTCGTATTTCGAAAGTCAATCACGATTCGTTTTTTTAATTTCTTTTTCTTTTATTTTGATTGCGATTTCTGCACAGTATATCGGGGTGCCCCATGGCTGACAAATCCGCCATTGTTCAGTCCAGTCAGGAGCTTAAGTAAGTGGATTCTTTGATTGGGTGGTAGAATATTTTGTCTTTTTTTCAGTTTGAGGTTGTGGAAAGCATTTATATTTCCTTTGGGTTTTCTTGTCGTCGTGCATGGCCTTGTCATTTTCCACGTTTTTTGGTCTGTTTCGTTTTTCTAGAAGTTGGAGAAAAAAATATTATTTGATCTCCATTTGATTTGGGCTTTTTTGGTTTGGTTGTTTGCTTCTTTTGTTCATCTTGGTGTGTATGATTTGTCGTATGCATGTTGGGCCATTTGCATGCTTTAGTTAGCCATAAGAAAAAGTTGTAGGAGAGAGCTCATGTTTGCTGCTTTTTATCTGTGTCTTTAAGTTTTGCCGATATGTTGTTCCTACACAGAACAGAGTGTGTTGCAGTGCTAATTAAAAATATGTATTCGTATTAGTCAAGCTTGTCCATTACTTCAAACCATTACAGTGGATAAGTCTGCAATCTTGCCATTACCTTTTTACTGGGTCGAAGAGCATAAAAAGCACCGTGGTAGTATTTCTGTGTAGAAGTGGGCATTGCAGGATGGACACTTGGCAGCCTTCTGTCGGCAGGGAGTGTAGCCTCGGGCAGTCGCGCGCCAAGAATGTGGACGCCAGAGGCAGTGTCAGGAAAGACATTTTTCAGCTGGTTTCCTGTGAGCTAAGAATAGTCACAGAGTCACAGACCTTCCGTGACGGATTCGTTCTACATGTAGAGACCCTGCCACCTGGCCCCCCCCCCCCACAAAACTAGATTTGACTTCCCTGATCAAACTCTCAGTAAGGGCACTAGAGCAACTTGGACAGTTGATTTGACCGCTGAGCTCATCCCATAAAGACAGTGCCACTGCCGTAGAGTCAAAACACTTTCTGAGATTCCATTTCAGCACGTTAACCACAGGTCGAAACTCTTCATGCAAATATTACATGCATACATGGATATTAAGGCCTATTCACATGAGCACCGATAGCAGAGGTCCTGTGTGATGAAATCACATCGATGTTACAATCGCAGAGATATCATGTCGTGTGAAAGTCTATCTCGGTCACGAAATTGCACGGTTATAACACAGGTCCTGAGTGATCGTCGCAGCAATGGAGACCTCTTCCAAAATTTTTCATCGACGTGAAATCTGTGTTATGATCACTAGTGATCGGATGTGTGAATGCAGAGCGTGCGATCGTCGCGAGGGTCCTGTGAGTTGAAATTTATTACGCATGCGCACCCATTTGTTCACGTCTTCCAAAATGGCAGCTCTCCATGCAGACGTACTCGCTTTGCTACTCCAACTTGTGAATGTGATGCTGCAAAATAGAACATCTGTGCGTCTTTCTTCCGTCCGAGCTGCTAAATCTTGCAGGCTAATTTCCAGAGTAGCAATCAGCAATCAAATGATTCGTCGTTGCTGCCAGATTCGAGCACAAATGTTCATGAAAATTGCACTGTTTGAAGTCAGACCATACGAATGCATTTCGGGAAAAACGCAGGTACTGCATGACTTTAACATGAGAATCATAGCAAAGTATCAGCGATGCAAATTAACCTTTGACTGCAGTTGCAAATTGTGGCGAAACAAGGAACCTCAGCTACGTGATAAACATTGCACCATGTGAAAATCGGCGAAGAAATCTCACACATAGCAAGACACAGACGCAGATGCAGATTTGGCGGTTGGAGATGTTATTTTCTGAATGTTTTTCGTTTTTGCCCTGCACAGCTCGTAGGTAATCATGTGCAGTACGTTTGATTGTTTTCCTCTGTGTGAGTGGATTTGAAAAGTGAAGTTGCACCTTTTGAGGTGATCTGCGCAATGCCACACATTTTTTTGCCGTTGATGCAGAGATCAAACACCGAACTCCATTAGGAGGCAGCAGCCACTCACACCAACAATGCTGACATACATCATTCCCCTTGACAACTCAAGTCTCAGGTTGTTGGAGGAAGTCCCAATTGTTGCTGCGTACGTTCCAAGTGTTTTTTTTTTCTGTACCTTGTCAATCCTATGTAAGTAGCCGCCCCTTGGTGTTGGTAGTTTATAATCAGCAAAGGTTGTGCCATTCAGGCTAGTGCATGACTGTAACTAGAGCCTTTTTTTTTTTTATTTCCAACTTCTGCTCTGTTTCTCTTAGATGAGCTTCCTGTACATCATTTATTGTGACTTAATTTTTCTGTATTTTCACAGGAATTCCTTTTTTAAGCTGTTTCTCTTTACAGCAGGTTTAGATGACCCTGTCTTGAACACTGTGGGTTCACTATGTTTGGCGTTCCCACTCATAAATGTCAACTAATTTAAACCTTACAGAATAGTCATGTGGCATTGATGCAACACTTTGGTTGGCCGTGAATGCCCAGGGGTCAAATATCATGGACTTTGGTACAATTTGGCTGAGTGTGAAAGAGCAGGGCTTTCACTTACATGTAGCATTAAAATGTTATCAGCAAAAAAGCAGGTTTCCTGCCGTCCCCCCCCGTGTCACCCGCATGTGACCTTAGCTATTGGCACTATGCAATGAAGAAAGGGGGGCTCTGTGTTACCTTACCACCTTTGGGGGCCGACTTCTTTGCGAGAGCACAGTGAGGGATTGCTTGCGTAAAAAGGCCTGTTGATACCTCAGGCGAATGTGAAAGTGTGGCCAGTTTGATGTCACAAAAAATTTGATGCGAAATTTCGCTAGGGTCGAAATGTGTTTAACTTCGACCAGTTTGGGACAGGAATATTTATTCTGATGTCACAAGTTCGCAATTGTGTTCGTTTCGACGCAAAGTGTGAACCGGCCTAAAGTAGGCAGTCCTGCATTGGATCTGTTCACAATTGTTTCCCAGGGCCCCCATTTTGTCCAGGGCTAATTGCAGAAAATGCCGCTTTGTGCCCAGATTGATTGAGGAGTGTACATTACCAGTTTGGGCTGGTCACCTGTTTCATGTGAGGGCAAATTGAAACAGTGAGCACCTTTCATCACTGGTAGCTTTTCCCCTGGGCAAACTATGCACAATATATATAATGGGACATGCGTTCATCACTCAAAAGTTGCCTTTCATGGTCAATTTTTCTTGCTCAGCAAAGTCCGTGCTCACCAGCCCCATTCAAGAAACTGTAACCTGTTATCTCTGTTTCCATTGACAAGTGGTAAGGAGCCCAATCACAGTTGATGGACCTGGGTGCAGATGCAGTTTGTTCTGGGTATAGGATCTGTTCCAGTGTGCCACACTTTCAACAATGAAGTCTTCATGCCTAGTGCCCCTTCTTGTTTCGACTCAAAAGCAGAAGTTTTGTTATCACCGAGCGTTGCATTTTTTTTGTTCCACTCCTTTCACCTCAAACAGGTGTCCGACGCCGGGCTGCGACGGCTCGGGCCACATCACGGGCAACTACACCTCCCACCGCAGTCTCTCGGGCTGTCCCCGGGCCAAGAAGCGCAACGCCATGTACGCCCAGCAGAAGGCCCAAGCTCAGGCCCAGGCGGAGGCAGGCAACGATGAGAATGTGGAGGATCCCACCATGAGGTCAGTACAAAAGAGGAGAGAAAAAAAGAGAGAGGATGTAGAGGCCAATGTCGTCCGCTTGGAACTTGTTTGCCTCCAAAACAAACTGGTTACAATCTTGGTAATCATGTCAGTCTAATCCTGTCGTTTCCTGCCCACGAGACTTTTTGTGTGCTTCTTGAATTGTCTTGTCTCTGAGACCAGTGATTTGTTTTGTTTTTGGAGACAATTTTTGTTTCTCATTAAAGAAAAAAACTAATGTCAGTGTCCCTAAGTCAGTCATAAGTCTGATTACAAGTCGGCTCCCAAGTAGGAGGGAATGACCAGTTGCTAAGGATTCTAAGGGATGCCTCTTTAGGTCATGAAACTGCTTTGCCACTTTGTCACTGCTTTGCTACTCAAGATTTTCTGACTTGTGACTGCCTTACGACTGAGTTGCCTTGTGATGAGTTGAGTACAGCTCTGTGCAATGGAAGCCCCAAATCGTCTACATTTCTAGATGGCCTTGAACCACAGTGCCTGGCTGTGACTTCAAATCGTGGTGGAAAAGAGAAAAGTAGAGAACGTGGACTTCGGAGGGCCGTACGGTGTTGCTTGGCCCCTTTGTCGTACTCTTTTCTAAAGCATAACAACTGAGCTAATATGGCCTGCCGGGAATTTGTTCCCCTTCTTTCCCCCTCACAGAATTCCCCTCCCCCTTTCATTTTTGAATCCTCCCGGAACTGTTAACGATTACCAGTGGAGTGCGACAGACCTTGGCAGGTAGGGACCCATCTGTCACTTCCCGGGGTTAAGGAAAATGGCACAAGGGGGATGTTGCTAGATGTTTGGAGTCAAATGCCTACTTTCCCCGATAAAATAGCCACATGTACCCGTAGCCTTTTGCTGATCCCCGCCTTTTGCACTTTTGAAACTTGTTCCAATGTCAAGCCCTCAGAATCGGTTTCCTTTTTATCTCTTTCCACCCCCCCCCATTCCTCTTCCAGCCAGTGATTTTACCCTGGTGCAGGGTGATCTGTTGTCGGAGCTCAAAATGTTCTGTGAATGGTTCCTGCAGTTTCCTGTCTAAAACAGCATATAGAACTCAGTTTGTGGAATGCCCTGTTGTTTGGTCATAATCTGCAGGTGCCCGGTTCCCAACTGCGATGGCTCGGGCCATCTGACGGGCAAGTATGCCTCACATCGCAGCGCCTCGGGATGCCCCAACGCCTCCAAGGTGTATCAGAACTACCTGCGGGACGGCTTTGGTGCCAACGAGCAGTCGGGCTCCCCAGCTGCCGTCGCTCCCAAGTCTGTGAAAATGGAACCTCAGAATTCGTCGAGGTAAGGCTATATTCAACAAACTTTCTTTTCTGTTATTCATTGGCGTAGTTCTTACTCATTCTTTAACCCTTTGCTGCCAGATGGTTTGAAAAACGCAGTGCACATAATCGGGACTTTTGCAAGATTTTCAGTTTTCAAAATTCTTCAAAAATTCATCATTTCAATTGATGGACGTTTACTCCCACACAAATTACTGTCTGGTGGCCCCTCTAGTCTGACAGACAAAATCTCTTGATGCTGGAGTATTTCAGCCGGGCCTGCAGCCTTGTAAAAAGAGCCCAGATTGTGTGGTGTTATGTAAACTTTCTTTTGTTGATGAACCTGGCACAGTGCGCTGCTGACCTCTTTTCAATAGGTACCAGATTAGCGTGCAGCGGTACTGTGTGGCTCATTGCTGCGGTGGTGGAGCGCTTTCGTCCCCAGTGGTAATCCGCTTGCACTAAATGCCCCAAACCGTGGTATACTGTTTCAAAACAAGGCTGGATTATTTCCACTATTGAGAGTGAAAAAATTGTCGGTAATGCCCAGCAGCCTGGTCTTCTGTTCCGAGTACGGTCTTTTGTTACAAGTCCCAGTTCCCTTTGTCCGATTTCGGAGACCCCGGCCACGGGTATAAACACACGGTGCCCGAAACCGGAGTCCCTTGCAGCAAGTGGTTAAAGTTGGAGGAGGGGGGGTGTTGCAGTTTTAAAAAAAGATCATGATGTCACCATTTCCACAAATCGGCAAGCTGCTAAGTTGGAATGAAGTTGGCTAAACTGTGAGATCAGTTCTAGAATACAGTGTGTCAGTTTTCATCTTCAGTGGAATCTGAATGTGGAGATGTAACCGTTGGATTACTCCATGGTGTCGTTTTGATATTCTCCTTTATGGCATCTGCAACGGTGGTCGAGTCATATTGAAGAGTGAATGTGCTTTGCACTGTGTGGAAAACTTGTCAACTCTGCATGGTGTACCCTTTGTTGCTTTGTGAGGTGTTGCATGTATTTTCAGTTTCACTCTCTTTTTGTTCTCTGTGGTTTTGTTCCTTTTTCCCCCCGCCCTGGTCAACATCACACGCCGCCCTTGCCCATTTCCTTTCTGCTACCCCCCCCCCCCGAACCCTTCCCTCAACACCTCTTTGCCCCTCTGATCTCCCATCACAACATCCCTGATTCTCTGCCCTGATTCCTGTACCCAACCTTTTCCACTTTACTCACTTGCAATTCCATCCACTTCATCCACACTTTTATTCGTCTCCTTCACCCCCTCCCTCATCTTCCGATGACGGATTTCTCCTCTCTTGTAACTTCCTTGTGCCTGCACTGCCACCTTCACCCCTCCAACCTTGCCACCCCTGCTTTGCTCCCCTCCTCATACCCCCCCCNCCCCCCCCCCCCCCCCCCCCCCCCCCCGCTCCCTTCTCCGCCTTGTAGTTGCCCGATTCCTGGTTGTGATGGCTCTGGCCACTGTAATGGTAACTTCTCCTCTCACCGTAGCCTGTCGGGATGCCCCAAGGCCACTAGTGTCATGAAGAAGGCCCGGCTGAAAGAGGAAGAAATTGCTGCCATCTCCCTGAAAGCTGCTCAAGGTTAGATGAAAAAACCCAACTCTATGACTGTTGTGAAATGGCAAAAAGACAACTGAGATAATCTCTATCAGGGTGCATGAAGATATGATGAATACAACCATTGTTTATATTGTCAACGCAGCTGCATTGGTTGTAGTGTGCGTTAATATCTTTCTAAAATGTCCCATCCTTCAAGGAAGGGCTCCACATAAAAATAGACTGTTCAAGGCAAAAGTATATTAATAAGGTTGCTGTAATTGGTTTAGGGTGTGTGATTGATGTCTGATGTACTAGTCATATCCAGAATATTTCCAATAGGGATGAAAGTCTATGAGCAGTATTATCTTCGAGCTTGTCAATTTCAGACTTACATGTACTTTCCATGTCAGGCATTGAGAATGATGAGGAAATCCGTGCCCTGGACACCGAGATCAGCGAGCTGCAGCACAGCAACTGCCAGATGGAGTCGCAGATGATCAAGCTGCGAACCCAGATCACCTCCATGGAGGGCAAGCTGCACATGGCGGAGAAGGAGCACAGCGCCATGGAGGAGAAGCACCGCACGCTGACCCAGCAGCTTGAGGAGCTGCGCAACACTCTCATCAAGCACCTGTCAGAGGTGCAGAGCCAGGCGGCCTCGGCGCCCCAGCAGGCTGCGACTGCTGCTGGCGCAGCCCAGCTGCCCCAGCCGGCCGCTGCTGGCGCAGCTGCCACCCGGCCAGGACTGAGCCGGGAGAACATCGAGGCCTTCCTGACTTCGCTGGAGACCACCACCGTGGCGACGGGAGGAGGAGGGACCGAGGACCGGCCCGAGACGCCACCTGAGGAGGATAGTGCCCCGATAGAATTTGAGGCGCCCGAGGGTGCAGCGGCAAAACCGGTGGCAGCTGTGGGATCGGCAGCAGTCAATAACATTGCTGTGTCTGCCACATAAATGCAGCACTTTCCAGGCGAGCCATCCTGTCTCAAGCAGATGAAGGATTCAGGCTGAGAGAAAACCCTCACTAACGTCATTCTAATCATGATTCATTTTACTGTGTGTGCTGAAAGATTCCTGAGAATCTACCTTTGGTGTTGTAAGATTTGCCAAGATCAGTACAGAGTATGACGAACTCTACTCTGTAGCACACACACTGCTGTGTGTTATCATTGCATTAGACTTACAGGATACAAATGCCTAAAACTTTTCCCACATGACAAGTCCATCTCTTCTGCAACTTTAATACACAAATTCATTTGGCTAGAACAATCAGAGCCTTCCCAAAGTGAAATGGAAAAGGGAAAGCTCTGGACTGGCTTTGAGTTAAGACTGTTAGTGCATGTGAAACAGGGAGGTTATTTTTTCTGTTGTTGTTCAGAAGATGCAGCAGGCAGTTCTGACATCCTTCCAGTTTGGCCACATTGTAGTCTTTCATTGTGACTGTCATCCCCCCGACCTTCCCAGAAAGTTTTAAAAATCGACAACTGACCGACTAAACCTGATTGGAAAATGGAGAAAGGCGCATACAATTTCAGACGTGTGTGAGTCAATAGGGGGTGTTGCAAGTAGTTCTGAAGCATGTTCCCATGAGAGCTGACCCTTGACCTTAAATATGAATTTTGACATATTTCCGTGACCCTGATCGACGGTGACCACTTGAATTTGAAATTCTCAGTAATAAGTTACTCTGATGCAGATTATAATGAATTGTATGCAGAATATAGCATTGTTTCTTTTTTTTCTGGTTTGAGTTTTTTTTATGCACAAAACAAATAATTTGTACCTTGCAATGAATCCTGGAACTGTGTGCTTGTACATAGAAATGTTGTTCTTTTATTCCCCAACAGGGTTTACTGTTGAAGTTTTGTCAGTGAAAATGCAACCCTTTCACTGTTCACTCTTTTCTGCCTTTTGGACGGAAAAATACAAGTGTGTGCCAGCCACTCACAGAAAGCAAACTTTCATTTATTTTAGCTTTTCTATGAAAAGACATTTCCAAATTTCAAAAGTCCTTGATGACCTGCAATGAAATGGTGTGGGTTGAAGAAAAACTATTTTGCTTGTTTCATGTGGCGGAAACCAGCTAGGCATTCATCGCCTGAGTGACTGGTGTCTAACAGCTTCCTTAATGAACGTTGATGAATTATTCTAAACTGTTCACGTGAATGTGATCTGTCAGTACTAGAAATGGAAAAGAAAAAAATATGTGCTGGAAATAGTGCCCAAAGATTGCCTCTGAAAAAGAGTGGTGTGAAGAAAACGACCTATTGATTTAGGAAATTCCTACCTATACTGATCCAATTGTAGCATGGATGGTTTCCATTTCATTGGGGTGGGCACCGGCCACCTCTGACCAATCAGATGGAATGTATAGTAAATGATTGTGAATATGATTTCGTAGCTTGTCTGGCATTGGCCAGTCCATTACAAAGCCTGTAGAGAGGCCAAAACAAGCAGTGTGAAAGGCTGAATCAGGAAGAGCTTGTGATTTCACTAAAGAGGTCAAAGGGTGTAAGACACACCCAGTAGTTAATCAGTCAATAGCAATCCTATTTAAAAAAAAAGAAAAAAGCTCCAACGCCTGTAAATACAAGAAAAGAAGTAGTGTAACTTAAAAGACGTCAATGTATGTATATGCTATGAGTTACTTTAGACAGGGACTGTGCAATAAATTCCCCATTCGTTTTGTGCTGTGGCATGTGGTCTTGCGCATCCTATGTGCAACTTATTTATTATGTATGAGTGTCAGACAGTGCGACATATAGTGCAACGGACCAGTGTGATGGAGAGAGAGTGTGCGAGAGTGTGCAGTATATTTTGTATGGCCATGAAGATATTTTAGTATTAAACTAAAATAGTTACAATACTAATTTCATCTACTGTTATTGAGTAGCATAATTGATGTTGACATTTTGTGGTGATACTTGTGACCGTTTACCAATGGAGTCTGTGGCATTTGTTTTAGTTTTTCGTCAAGGAACATTGATCACCGGGTTTTCTTCTTGTCGTGAGCATTTCCATGCAAGCTTTAGCTAACTTTACAAAAGTGAGATTTGGAAGTAAGCACCTGAGGCAGCGGTGTCTTTAGATTTGGTTGGAACTTCCAAAGTTTCCTGTGGTCTTGACTGTTTTTGGTGTACGTGCCTGTAGCTATGCATCTTACATTTTCAGAGCAATTCCATTTTTCCCATTATTGCCGTACCGTAAGTGGCTTCATTTGGAAGCCATTTCTGGACCCTCTTCACTAATGTCGGCAAGAGATGCGCAGTGGGCGGGACTCTTGTGCACATTCAATTGGAGAGTGCTTCCCCTCCTGTCGTGAGCCATCGTCTCCTACAGTATTAACAAAGTGCCCTCATCCAAGACTGTATGTACAATGCAGAGCACTCGAGACCATTTGCTGTGGCGTAGCTTGGGCTGGTTTGTCCAGTGGAATTGTCCTTAATAAAGCAGACAATCCTGGACCGTGTCACTTTTTCCTCTTTTGCTGAAGCTTCTCTACTACGAAATATGCACAAATACATGTACATGGACGCATTATGCATTTCGTATGCAGAGTCATCTCACTGCCTCGACTAAACTTCAACGGGCCTAAATTCTGGCCGGCACATCCAGCGGGACGTTCCTGCAGGCTTTCAATGCTTCAGAGGGGGAGTAACCGTGAAATGTGTCAAGCCCGTATTTGTAAGCAACTTGGCCTTCTCAAACTCCATCAGTGGGGAAGTTTTGATTTGTCTCGCCACCTTTCCACCCTTGCTGTATTCAACTCGAGTAGCCAAGATGCTGTTGATGATGCCAGACCAACTGATGCCATTCTTTCCATTTGATTAGGCCCAAAAGAAAAAGTCTCTGGTTTCTAGTCAGGAGCTGGCTCCAAAAGTGGTGCCCTCGCTTTTTTTCCGGAAATGATGTATGATATGATATATGATATGATATAACGCCGGCCGTTACCAATACTAAAATAGACTGACCCCCCGTACTTTTACTGTTTAAAAGCATTTTCAGCTTGTACAGTGCACAGGACATAAGACCACCTCGTTTGTCAGGTTCCCAGATGTAAATGTATAATACAGCAATGACGTCATCTGAAAAAGAGTGCCCGTCGGAATGTGTAGGGAACTAAAGGGACTCCTTTACTGTACATATTACTCAACTGTACCCCATCGAAAGCACGTAGCAGGATTCCAGTCGATTAAAGCAAGTTTGACAGCTTTTGTACATTGTTTTATACCAAATAAACTTTTTTATTTTGCCGATGCGCAGGTCTTCGATGATGTGCGTGCTGACCAGAAACCGGAGACTTTTTCGGCCCTAAATATTTTAGCAATAATTTATATTTATGCATCACAGTCCTTGCATTTCCAGTGGCATTTTGTCAGTCCAAGGCCTTTGGGTACCGTTGTCAGTGTTGCGAATGATCAAACAATTCCTGCTTCTACCACTGTGATAAAATGGAGGGCCACGTAATACCAACATTGCGTGCCCTTTTGTTTTTCTCCAGTAAGTTTGCTGTCCGTATTTTTCGACCAAAGAATGACATTTCGGTCGTGCACATTGTAGCAAGAAAAGCAGACGCCATGCATTGAAATCCATTTTTAGGAAGAATGCGATTTATTTCTTGTATTAATTTTTGGAGAAATGTGTACTCTTCAGCTCCAAGATTCCAGCCTTCCTCAGATCATCTGTGTTAAACTTCTGATGCAATGGAATAACAGTTGTAGATATTACCTTATGTAGAACTCATTTTCTGTAGCGTTAAGAACTTAGGCAACTAACTTCATTTGTTCCTTTTTTTCTCCCCGAAATGTACTAAATGTTTACACGATGTGATTATGTGTATCTTGTCAGTGAAATAAAGTTTCCGATGGAAACAGTGATTCTGTCTGCTTTCTGTTCTTCTGAAAGGGGGGGACACAGACATTGGTCTTCAGCATTTTCTGGAGATTTTTGGTTTGCATGGCCCCCTTCATCTCAACAAGGAATTGGGCCTCTTGGGAATAGGGTCATTTTCCCGATAAAAGTGGCACTGTTGTTTTAACTTGGACTCCCTGCCTGTTCTTATTTTCTGAACCAAAAGGGTCTCCTGTGGAATAATCTTGAAATGTGTATGCACGTTTCCCAGGAAATACACATGGTGTTGTAGAGGTATTCCAGTGAAAGGGCAATGTTGGGGCATCTTGCCGAGCCAACATAAGGCCCAAATATCTTCGGGAAAGTCTTGAGATATCAATTGAAATCTAATTGCAAAAACTGGATGTCTGGCCAGGTAGACATGCCTGCTTTTGGGCCGAGATGCAGTCTAAGTTCCACCACGTCAAGCTGTTAAATTCTCTCACAAACAGTAAATTATACAAACACCATGGCGCAGGTACTGAGCACGCAAAATATCATTTAATGTGCACTGAACTAGTTTGAGTGGCACCATTGCAACACTAGGCTGCATGTAGTTGAGACTACACAAGCCCCCTTTAATGAATGTGCATGTATAATCTCCCTTATCATGAGCTGCACTGCTTTTTTCAAGGGGTGCAAGTTCATTGCAATTTCTAAAGGAAGAAAAAACTTGGCAAATTTTGAAATTATTATTTCTCCCAAGGGTCGATTTTGACCTTGGATTATAACTGGTTGGAACATCACACAAAAGACATGCAAGGGTGTATCTGCCACCTGCAATGAAGTCTCAATAATGAATGGCTTTCATACGAATATTCCCATTTGTAACCAGCTCTAATAGACTCTATACATGTTTTCTGAAGATGAATTGGATCACCATTGCAAAATTCAGTGAAAATAATTCTCAAAATATCTTCAAATGCGGAAATGCCAATTCTGTTCGGGTACAATGTCCAATTTTTCAATTCAAACTTGGGCCTATGTACATGATTTTTTTCTTTTCCCAATCAGAGTACCTGGGAAATTTATACTTAATTATCAAAACCATCCAGGTAAAATGTTCCAAGAGAATATCCGGATTTCTTTTCTAACTGTTGCTACATACAACACTGATTATTAAGCAGGTTGCAAGCAAACCAACTTGTCAACAGATGTAACACTTGAGGCAATAAAAGGCAAATGAATAATTCCTTAGCAGTAATTTTTTTTTTTTATTAGTGGCAGACTCGGCAGAGTTCTCCCCTTGGCTGAGGATTCCAGTCATGTCAGCATAGCGACAATTGGCTTCACCATTTTTTTTAAGTTAATGACCACGGGGTCCCAGACCCTTCCACTTCATTCCAGATTTACATAGGGTGAGCTTGCTTGTCCTGAAAATGTCAAAAATTAAAAAGATGTCTCACTTGACACAATTACATTGAAGTTACTTCTTAATGACGGTGAAGCTGTGGGCATTCTTTCACACTGTTTTTTCTATATAATTTACAGTCACATTTTTCTCAATCTGGATCATAAAACCTTTCAGATTGCAGCAAATGACACTGCGGGTCTTAAACACACACCGACTAAATGAAATTCCAAAAAATTCTTCACAATAGACTTTAACCGATGCCACATCAAAAAAATTTAACCAATTCTATTCACATTCCTGCAAGTTCCTTGGATTTTGACACTTCACAGGAAGATCTTAATACAGAAAAATGCGCACAAGGGCAGAATAGTTTTTATATTTACAGTTATTTTTAAATAGCAAAATAGTTTCATTCGATAATTGTTTACTTGTTATCTCTAAAAAAGGTTTTATAATTTAACTTTTTTCAAATAACATTATGAGTATTTACAATGTTTGGATTGAACTTTCCAGTTTGTTTCTTGTGGCAACAGAACCTCACATGAAGACCTTAAAAATTGCGTAATTCTTTCTTTACACTAAGAACACCTTTTGAACTGATTTTATCAAATGCTATGATAAATAGCTAAACCACAAGTATTTATTTGCTTGCTAACTAGTATGTTGTTACCAGCTGAAGTGCTGCAAAATACATTGCGTACTGCCATTGGCTGGTAATCTGTAGGGCAGCCAATCAGATGTGTCTTGCGGTTTTTTAATAGGTATTGCTTAAATTGAATTTGGAAACAAAGATCTTGCACTGAGATATGTACCTCAGACCTAAAACCCTTGCTTCTGAGAATCGGTGCTTACAACTGGAACTGCAAAGTGTGCTTTCACTAAAGACATACATGTACAGCATTGGTAAAGCTTTTAACATTAATGCTTAAGAGGTGTTGAATTCAATATGGGTAACTTACTGGTGATCAATTAAGCTTAAATTTAATACGCTTGACCAAAACTTTGCTAGAAACAAACCATGCTGTGCAATTCACAAGCCAATTACAGCCCAAGAGGTTGGCATAAATTGAGGCACAGAACACAATGGCATTTGGTGTCTGTTCTGCAGTTTGTTGGGAGGTTTACATACATTCCCTTCCACTACAATTAGCCAAATAAATTTATTTTTGTTTTTGTCAAGATGTCAAGCTTTTCATACTGCTTGTGCCTGATTTTGCCAAGCAGTGCAGGAGCTGTGCCTGAATTGCCTGGCCCATGCTGAAAATGACACACCAGTGAAAGCTGCTAACTAAGGTAAATCTGAAATATAATTCATGCTCAATTTGCCCCTAGATGGCTTCCTGCATTTGCCATTGATGCACGTCTTATCTGCAGCTACATGTACAACCACATGATTCAGACACCGTCTGATTTTCCTGTCCATGTAAGGAAACGAGATGGGGATCTAACATGGTTGCCAGGCAACCATGCAGATCAACCTCTCCCTTCACGCCTCTCAAGTAGGCCAACAGCGATCAAATATGCTTATTTGGAGCTTTATCTATGTACAGTGTAGGATCGACTCTCCATGCCGGCCTTTGACACATTTGAAGTGAACATAAAACCTTTGGCCAATTTCAAACACTGGAGGTAAAATGTATTGAGCTCGACAAATTGGTTATGCATTCACACTGTAAACTGTGGAATACGTAGTCTATGTCCTGGACATTAAATAATGTTGTACAACAACCAATTGAGAGACACAATGGCAAAATAAATTAAAGGAAATCTAACATCTTTGTAATATCTCAAGAAGGTCAATTCAATACTTGCCACAAGCACATGATACATATTGTACCGATATAAATCATCTTTGAATTATATTTACAATATTGTAATGATTATGCTCTTTATACATTTACAGTAACGTTCTTTCAATCCTCAAAACAAACCAAGCAAAAATTCCATTAATTTCTTGTTTATTATCATTTTTTTAAACATACCCTCCAAAAGATCAGCGGAGTGTTGCGTTTCTCGCTGCTACATGCAGATTTGCAGATTTGTTGGCCACAGACCATACTTTGTACATTTGGAGAAACTTTCATGATCAACCTTCAGCCCCAAAAAGGTACTTGTGCAATATGCATCTAATGAAAAGAGCGGGCTGAGTGGCGATGTATCAATCCTGCTAGTTTTCAAATGCCTTGTAGTATCAGAGTCTGACCAATCCGGTTGGCTCTTTTCAGTCACATGTTCATCTATCAACCAATCAGCAAATCAGACCTGATCATATCATTCTGCAATGTCAAGTAGGTGTGGTGCAACTGACATCAGAAAGAGGGAGCCGTTCTTCAGCTCTCACAAGGATTAAGACGAGTCTGTTTGCTTGAACCCTAGTCTACATTTCACGGTGATAAAGCAGATAGGAGATCAGAGACTGGGGGAGGGGGAGCTTGAAGATTTTCTCCCGCAGGTAGTTGGGTCCCATGGGCTTTGGGGCAGCTGTGGCGGCCGCCCTCTTCCGCTTGGCCTGTCGCTTCTTGCGCTTGAGGTGGTCAAAAATGGTCTCGTCAGAGATGCCGCTGGAGGACGAGTGGGAGCTGTCACTGGAGTTGCCACTGTCTTCCCCATGGGCATGTTCGCGGCTCCGGAATGGGTACGAGTGCCGCATCATCTGCGGAACCTTGACATCAGCCGAAAGGGGGCCTGGCGGCTTGGAGAGTTTGGAGCTGCTACCATAGTCTTCTTCCACTTTTGGGGGTGGAGGTTGTGCTTCGTGGTCAGGCTGATTTCCGGGGTTGCTCCAGCATGTTTGCTCATCTGATGCATCTCGACTGACCCCATCTACTCTCTGTACATCATCTCCGGATGAAGAGGATAACGATGATGATTTTGAGTCTTTGCCATCTGGGCTGGCTGTCTCCTGTGGCGGCAGTGGTGCCTCGTCTGCCCCAGTGCCCGGGGGAGCTTCCTTAGAGGAGTCGCCCTCACCCTGTCTGTCATTCATCCTCTTCCGATCCTGCGGGGCCCCGTTGTCATAGGCCCGCTTCAGGTTCCGGGCAAACTCAAATGCCTCACTCAGGCACATCTCCATGGCACCCCGGGCACTGCGCTCTTCGGACAGGCCCCGCCCTGTCCCTGCCGCCTCTGAGTTCTCATCATTGCGCCTATCGGGACGCTGGGAAAACTCCATGACGTAAGCGCTGTGTCTCGGTGGGACCTGTCGTCTGGGTCGGCCATTGCGGTGACCCCTTCTCCCATTCCTATTCCTGTCGTCCTTGCGGTCATCGGCCGCGTCCTTTTCTCCAGGCTCCTGGCCATCCGTCTCAAAGTCCTGCTTCTTCCAGTCTTCCCCACCTTCCTCCATCCTCTCATTGCTGTCGTGCCTGTCCTCTTCATCTTCTTCTTCTTCCAAGATTTCGTCGCTGTCATCATAGCTGTCACTGCCCATCAGCTCGCCGGCCAGCTCCAGCATGTTGCTGACGTTGCGGATCATGATGCAGCTGTTGACGCCGCCCAGGGGACGGTGTGGGGGCCGTCGTGGCTGCCGCTTGCTGTTCTTAGGGGTGGGGTGCTCCGTGTTGACGATGTCCCTGATGATGCCTCGGATCTTAATGCGGCAAAGGTCTTGCAGGGATTTGGCATGAACTTCAGCTGCATGGAAAAACAATGCGCTAAAACAAAATAGTGCTGAACATCAAATTGAAAAAAAAACCCACAATTTTATTCTTTGTTCCATTTGAGAAAGCAACAAGTATTGGTTACAAAAGAAGAGATGAAATTTTTAGGTCAGTTTCTGGCACTTCACTTGAAGAGGCCACCATGTGACATGATGCAACAGGGTCAGCTGATAGCTCTCCACCAATTAGCACCCTTTGTGTTGTCTCTAACAAAAAAAACTGCTCTCTCCATTTCTTTGCTCTGAATGGTGGATGTGCAAAGTCGCATAAATCTGCGTGCCCACATGTTTCAGAGGTTTAGAGTACGGATCACACTCACACTACCTGGAACTTGAGGAGCAATCTAAAGATAGAGCAGCAACTTACGAAGATCAACAGAAGAGAAGCTTTCTCCCTCTGTCTTGGATGGTAGGATAAGAGGAGCAAAGGACACGGGTAGTACGTTCTTAGTTTCCCATTCTGTCTGGCTGATGCGTGTGATTTTCTTCAACTGCGATGTAACAAACAGCATGAACATGTTGATAATCCACAGGACGGGAGGAACGGAAGACAGTACTTTGGGGGACTTGACAAAGTTGTGTCACACACATGCCCTGTGTAACATCAGCATCATGGGCATGAGAAGTTCCGTTGCATACAATTGCAAGGATTTATCATCTGTCTCTATTTTTAATTTTTAATTTTATTTTTCCTTAATGTTTTCCTCAACAGACTCACTCCAGTCTCGCACACTGTGGATATTTTGATCTGTCATCAGATCATTCACGGTAACTTTTTGCCAAAGTATGAAGTTTACTGGTCATCTTCAAGGTACATGTACTAGTTTCTGCACACATACAGAACTCAACTGATTGAATTATGCAAATCTGGAATCAAACCGCTCTGGGAAGTTCAACATCAAGCAGGGTAATACTGCAGTCAATGGCCATGCGCAAAACGTTTTGCCGTGATACTGAACAAAAAGAACTGCGACAGTCCCTAACACATGGCCACTGTGCATATGGTGCACACATAATGCACGTGTATGTGACACTAATATTCATTTGAGCTGTGTAAGGTACAAATGCACACAGACAGAGAGAGCACCTGTCTTCTGCCACTATCTACATGTTACAAATTCAATCTGCAGATTACCTGATCTTCCAGTGGCATGACTAGTATGCCGCCCACTTTCAGTAATATCTTCATGTAGTTCTCATGTTCAGCTGGACAAGCGGCCCCGCAGTAGACCCGGTCGTAGGTGCGACACCCAGAACACAACAGAAGACCATTACCTGGGCAAGAATAAGTTTTTATTTGATTACGTTCATCCATGGCTATACCAACGGCAAACAGGAAAGTGGGACTGTGAAAAGTCACAACTTCCGTGAGGTCTACATGTAGTTAGGCCAGAGCCGGGTACCCGCCTGTCGATAACAAAACCTGGTTCCATTTTTCTGGGCTGGGTACCCGTAGAAAAAAAATTCCACAAATAAAATGTGCGTGAACTTTACTAGTGATGGGCAGAATTGGAAGAAAATCATCGCGCTGCTGAGAAACCCGGTCCTGCGGTCATAACTCCGGTTCAGAGATTGACGGAGCTACTGTTGTTTCATACAAATTAAAAGTAGAAACACTTCCTTTAATAAAAGGTGGGGAAGAGTCCTCTCTAACATTTAGAACAATGTGCTCCTTCCTATGTATGAAAACAGAGCCCTGTTTCGGGCACATAGTCAGCCAGGATTACATGCAGTGCCATTTGTCAAGTGCTTTTTTATACCGGGTACCCGGTATTGGCATAAAATTGGTACCCAGTTCCCAAAATACCCGTAAACGAACACCCCAATTGGATTCCATTGAATTTACTCTAACGAACTCTAACTTCAGTTCCATGATTATTCAACAGCAAACCATCCCAGCATATACATCAAAAACACACTTTACTTTATCAGCCAAGTTGGCCCCATAATCGAAATGTGTTCAGGGGGCAACACTGCCTCGTCACTGACCTTGGACGAACTTGGGTTCACAGAACTCGTACTGGTCAAAAGAGGAAGACTCCCGGATGAAGCTGTCCAGTCGCTCTTTGGCATACTCGATGACATCGCCGTGGAGCTCAAGACCGTGGTTTATTCCATGAGCCCCTGTGGACAAACACAGATCAGCAAGACAAGTAGGTTGGACTACTTGTTTGCTTTGCTTTGCTCAATACATGTACATTGTTACTGGACGACTAATTACTTTTTCTGGATGACTGAGTTGATGTTCCTCAATGGGAATACCAAACTATATGACAGCAAGGATGGCGGCCGACTAGTTTGGTCCAAAAACGGAGGGAAAGAGAAGAGACTAAATTTGAGACAAGCCCAAGCTCACAGCATGGACTGCACATTGTACATGTACCTGGTTTGTGTGCGTCAAAAGCTGGCTGTGCATGCTTTGGGCACAGTGCACGATTCACCGCCAGTACCGGCATTGGAAACACTTGAGTGTCATGTTCAGAGTGTGCCTTGGCCAGAGTTGGCAGGAATGGTCCAGGCAGTACATGTGACTATTTCTCTCACTATTTAACAAACAGTGAACTTCCAGTAGACAGCACACTAGGCCTCTCCCACCTCCCCCGCCCCTCAAAAAAACCAGACCCTTCCCCATCACCCACGTGCATCAAGAATGTTCCCTCTTCAACTGAAAAACCTTGAAGGGTTCAGTGTACTTAATGGGTTCGGAGTGCAATGACCAAGTTATACGCTGTTCCAGTCCTCACCTAACACCAGTCCCACCATGGTGCTCAGGTAGCCCGTTCCGCTGCCTATATTCAGGAAGGACAAGCCGGGCTCAAGCTGCAGAGCCTCCATGACCTCAGAGTAGATGCAGGGAGCTGACAGGTGTATGTTGCCATGCTTCCAGGCCAAGTCCTGCAGCGATGGAAAGAACAGAAACTGTAAAAAAAAGACGTCAATATGGGATCTTACAGAGGCAAGGCAATTACACTTTGGAATCAATCAAGTTTTCCCACACATGTAATACAATTTCAGGTGAAGTTAATGCAACTAGTAGATCTACACCGTCCGTAAGTACGTCAGATAATGTCACGTAACCCAGCCAGCCCAATTTCGCAGAGGTACTAAGCACTCACTACCGGTAAGTCCAATCCTAGAACAGTAATTAAAGACTCAAATCACTCAGGTTCCCATGTTGGTTTTTGATATAAGTAACCATTTTGGGGTAAGACAAATTCCCGTGCTTTACAACACATTTAACTGTTGACTGTGGTGGGTATTAATTTAACAACACGGCCTCCTTTGGAAAGCTTTGAGGACAGCAAAGGTCAAATTGCCTTTGAAACGGTTTATTTTTAAGTTAGTTTCAGAAAGTGGTGGCATGTCCAGATTTGCTGCAACTAAAATGAAAGTGCCCTTATGTGTGCATTATAACAAGGCGTTCTGTAAACAAGTCTAAATGTACACAGTGACAAATGATCTCCCACTTAAAATGTGAACTGCACGTTTGTTTATATACAGTACACTGAAACTGCCGTATTACCCAAACATAACTATATTAAGTTTTTCTCCCGTAATGTAAATACACATGCACCCTATAAGCACTGACAAAAGGAAGTTCAAAATACGGTACCCTAAAAAAAAAATGATTCCAAAAAGGTATCAAAATTCAAAACAGGAAGTTCAATTTCCGCACACATCCTCAGGATGTTGGCTTCAAATTAAGCCACACGTACATTGCCAAGATTCACTTCTTGCTAGGACCATGTACGTGTGCAATCATTCTTGAAACATGATCACATTGCTCTTTCATTTATTATGTACATGCATCCCCTGTATGTTCATAAATGTTTATTTCAGTGACACAGACAGCAACCTTTATGGTTAACCTGGGGTTAGACTGTGAGTCATGTTGTGGAATTTCAGACCTGTCCAAAGTGAGTACGGTCTGTACGATCAATGTCACAATCACAGACAATTGCTGACCTACATGTGCATGTACCGTACATGTAACAGTAACATTTGGTGTCCCTTGCAGCTAAGGACAAATGTTAGTTAACAGCTGACAAACGCACAAAAAATAAAAAGCAGATGTCCGTAAAACCTTCAATTCACAGGCTGGCAGTGGTGACAATGCATGAAAATGCTACATCAGCAATGAGTGTTTTCGAGACAATAGCTGCACCATCTTAAAACTCCAACAATTACTGCCACTTCAACATGTTTAACATTCTTTTTTTTCTTCACACAGTGCCAATTGGCTTGCATGGGTGGCGTGTATATATGGACATTTAAAGCAAGTTCTTAAGTTTCCAACACGGGAGTGAATTCAAATTCACCTGTAACATGCGTGGCTGACACCAGGCTCAGAACAAATAAAAATTACATTAATTTAGACACAAAACTTAAAATACGTCATACATGTATGTGCCCAGGAAATGACAGATACTTGTCCCCGTCTTTGTTAAGTCAAACTTTTTAGTTACTAGGTGAGATACCTGTATGTTCTTTGCATGTATGGGTAAGTGCTCGTGCTCTGTACGCACATGTAAGCCTCCCCCCCAAAACAAACAAACAAACAAACAAACAAACACCCCAACAACCCAACAAACAAACAAACAAACACAGTTCCGCTTCCTATTACACAGCATCTGAAAACAGTAGGTTGGCAGGAAAATTTTTCAGGGGGGGTAGGGAGGGGAGGGAATCACTTTATTAACCCTCCTACGCTGAAGTCACTCTTTGGGTCACTTGGTAAACACCTCAAAGAAGCACAGTTGTGTTGTGTTGTGCACTGCACCAACATGCAAGAGAGTAACCTTGGGCACTTGTGCATATTTGTGCTGTAAAACTAAAGGAGGGTTAATACTGATTCAGTGTACAGCTAAGGGTCAATTGGTAAAAAAAAATAAAAGCAGCCAGAGACATGAGAGAGGTAGGGTGGCATTTGTCTCATATGCAATGAACGACGCTTGAAAAGGAACTAGCCGCACCAAAGTCTGTCCACTGGAACCTTTTTGCACCGTGAGCAAAATACAACCCTTTTGTTTCTGTCCGATTTCATATTTCCCCCCAAATACTTTACGGTCGAGAAATAAAAAATATGGTGCATGTCAGCAGCATGTAGTTTGGGTCACAAGAAGCATAACCATTTTCCTTTTGGAACAGATGATGGGAACCGCAATACAATGGTATATAGGGTTTGCAGTATGGCTGCCATCTTGCAGGCCAGTGCTTTTGTTCCACGGGGTGTGCGCAAAGGAGGTTTCCCTGTGGCTTCCACGCCAAGCCTCTCTATATACTCTGAACATATCGGTGGAACACCTGTTGCACCTGTTGTACTAGTAAATGACAAGCATGTGCAAGTGAAGCAGATAAAGCAATACATATATGCTGGGTGATTCTAGAGCTGTAAGCATTGAAAGCGAGAATAACAAAGCCATGGTACTGTTTGCCTGCTGGATGGCACCTCTACAATGGCGCGTTCTAAAATGATGATAAACGCAGTGTTTCGCTGTTGACGCACTTACGAGGGTGGAATCAAGAGGAGGTGCCCAACTTGCCCACAGGAAGCTCTGCACCGGCGAAACGGGGTCCCGATGAGCAAGGCGAGGCCAGTCAACTCCCATCTGTGTACCTTGCGCAGAAGGACCCGGAGAATACCCTCCCCTCTCCCCCTGCTCAAGATGACAGATTATCAACTGCGACATACTTTGGGGTCAATCAAACGTCATCAATGGACCCTTCTCTGCATGTTTAACGGAAGTACATGTGTTTCGGCTAGACTTTTTCATGGGTAGCTGAGATTCTGCTGGCATGTCAAAATGCTTTTGCTTTTGGCTCAAAACCACACATGCACGGAGCCTTCTTGAAGTTCTCCACCTGCAATGCATTCATGAAGTTCTTTTTGTGCACTGTATAATTGCATACGTGATCACTCCACTTGCAACCAAGGAAAATGGTCTTGAAAAACGACCCTGAATGCTCAACTCGCCAAGAGTTGAAATCAAACCACCATTGGTCAATTGTCTTTCTGTTTCTGGTCAGACCTAAGGCTTTCCAAATGAAATTGTTGTGATGAAGTCGCTGCAAATCTGCCGCCTGGCCCATGACCTGCTTTTTCATTGACCAGATGACCACTCAACTTTTCACCACTGTGCTCCTGGCATTGTTTACATTACAATGTCCACAAAGTCGCCGAAAAAATTTTTGCAGGGGGCACAAAGGTAAAAGGATATGCTTCTTGACCTACCCTACTTTGATGGTACAACCCTCAAATTTTTCTTTTTGGGGGGGGGGAGGAAATGAAAGAAAAGCACGCGGCTATTGTGAAAAAATATCGAACTAATGGTACCTAACCCTGCTTTTACATGCCATGCAATGGGAAGCAGAACTTTCCGGGGGGGGGGGGGGGGAAAGGAATTCCATTTGCCATTTNTTGGGGGGGGGGGGGGAGAGAAGAGAATTCCATTTGCCATTTACTTTTTAAGCTGCTCTTGCTTTGTGCGTAGCAAACAGGTTTAATGTTTGGTGGTAGAATACTAGGAAATTAGTACTCCACCACCACTCTGGCGCTAGACATGCACAAACCTTGTAAGCACTTTCTTTGTATCCTTCCAGATAGTAATCGGCACGATCCACGGCGCGGAAGACCTGCTCCACTCGCTCCGTCTTGATGTAATCAGCTTCCTTCAGGTTATCGACCAGGTGGTCGTTGTCCTCACCGGCACTCACTGCTCCTCCCATGGTGTGCTAAGACTAAGGGATGAAAGGGGAAGGGAGGAATTGACAGGGGAGGAGTATCTTTGGCTTGAAAGCCTACCTGACGCATCAGTCTGCGTCGTCGATGTCAACGTGGCATACCTACCAAGTGCAGTGCGATCTAAGAGATCAACTATCCCCAAGGCTGAACGGCCTCAGCCTTGGTGGCTGCCAGCCACCATTGGATCAATGGTGGGCACTTCATTTTGGCTACTGTTGACTCCCTGGTGCAATGAAGCCCACCTGCCTTCTACACCTGCTGCATCTGGCAGGTTTAGGGATTAATCAGCTGACTTTGAAAGTTGGCACAATGATTTAAACTTTCTAAAATCAAAACTGACGTTTACATACTGTACAGAACATGTAAATGTACATACACCAGCTTGGAAAAGTCACCGAAGTTTTGCTTCATGAGTGCATTAATGTAGTCTAACTCCAAATCCCCCGTCAAAAAAAAAAAAGAAGAAGAAAATCAAAAAATTTTGACGCATTGCAAATTAGACAGGTTATGCTTGACTGGGCCTTTTCAACAGATCTATGCTTCAAGACAGCAAGACAAACATGTGGTGTACCCTTCCCACATTCCGGTAGCCATGACAAAATGAGGTCATAGGCTGGACGTTACACTGCTCAGCAACAGTCGTCAGTATATGCACATACACACCCCACACTCGATAATGAATGGTGCACTGGCCGGCACATTGTGACATTGATATTATACCTGAAAATCAGCATTCACTTTGGATTGCTACTACTGCCTACAACATGGCGACTTCTTGTTCAATGAGGAGGATATCCCACTTGAATACGAAATTCCTAAGTTTTTTTTACCAGATGGTAAGTGAACTTAACCACCACCCACTGAAATCTTTGCTTATCACGGAATCCTACAGCGGGTGCATTAAAGACCTTCAGGAGTGTTTTGGGAATGGAATCTTAGGGTTTTGATGTGTGGTAGGCCTATGAGCTATAGGGCAGCGGGATTCTCACAAAATGGCAGGTACCAATCCGGTGTAAACAACGACCATGGCGACGTACGCCTGCACCAACCAGCCGAGGATCGGATGACACCAGTTTTTCTTTGATCAGTATGCACACACGCGCTCGTTGCAGTTGTTTTCATCGGTGCGGCGTGGTTGCTACCCGCAATTCTGTTAAACTCCTAGATGTTTGCGCTGCCCCATTCTCGCAGTCAGACATCCAGGAACTTCTGTACATTACTGAACAGCACGAAGGGTAATTTGCCCTTTTGCGTCATGTTAAATGTTCGTAGTGACGTCATGCCAACCGCAAGAATTTAATTTGAGTGAACATTGAAACTAATAAATATTACACAAGCCTGTGGAAGGTTCTTCTACGACCCTACCACTGCTTGCTCAAATATTAAAGGAAGAGATTTGTAGGCTTCTTGTTACATGTCTCAGACTGTCTGGCAACCTATGAAGACCGGGCATCTCTGGAATTCCTTGCCGGATGAATTGAGGGACGAAAATGATCTCTCACGCTTCAAACTCCATCTAAAAACACACCTTTACAATCTTGCTTTCCATCTTTAACTTTCCTAGACCTGCCCCTTTGAATGGTACTTCCCAGATACTGTGCACATTATAAATGCTCTAGGCCCTATTTATTATTATTTTGTCAGACTAAAATCTAAATAAGCCTAAGACATCCGTAGGCCTACACATTCTGTTCAAATTAGGCCTATGTCAGTATCTGCTGAACAGTTAGGCTAGCTTGATTTTGAATTTTGTATTGTAACTAGCATACTTTATGTTCACATTTCTGCCTCGAGGTTTCACTTTCAGCTACGATCAGCGACATGGCATACACCTTCCTTGATCACCGATAAGCTGGACATGTTATTGCTAGACAAAGAGACCAAGATGAGGGATATCACTTGACAATGTGCATGTACACGTACGCCAGCACACACATGCAGCTCAAACATGACAACTAACTAGCGTTAGCTTTGGCTTAAAAAACCAAAACAACATTATTGACACCCGTCAAAACACCTCCAGAAAACACCTTGTTCAGTCGCAACTGCAGAAACCAACAGCTCATAACAATCTACAGCACTTAGGTTTACCTCTGCCGAAACTTCTGTCTAAACCAGCTTCCGATCCTGGGGAAAAAATCGACAGATTCCGAGTGCGACTCCCGCGAAATCCTGACTACTGCGACATAATATACAGGGACCTATGACGTCATTCAAAACAAATCTGCACAAAAGACATACGTCTTGATGTCATGGCTGAGGCTGTCAGTTGCACGCACTTCTATTGGAAGTGTATATTGCCGCCAGCCAGTAGCTTCCATTCGCACAAGTGTTAATCCTTGTCGTAGCCGTTTCTAACGCACCATATCCACACGTACGTATGGTGCATCATGTGGCCGGGGTCTTTAAACATCCGGGACTTTTGGTTATTTTAATTATGCAAATTACCTCTTCCAGACAAAAAAGTTACATAGCGCCACCAATAGTTGTTAGAAAGTTAATCCACATGGTTAACTTTTGCTACCAAGTCGTGCAAGTGAAACGCGCACATGCATGCAGCAGGTAAGAAAGTGAAAAACGCTTTTCTTTAAATCAAAAGTCTCAATAAAGTTTTTCTTGTGGCATATCATGAAGCATTCATGCGTATTGAAATCCATTAACTTTTTATATTTGGTTATATTGCCACTGAATTCCAGTTTTGCTGTTCGGTTTAAAAAGAAACAAGCTGAGGCCAAAAGTTCAACCAATGTCAACATATTATTAGGCCCTGGCCGACATCATACATGTAATCAAACATGTCGACATCATTGCTTAAAATGACTTTCACTTTCTTTGATATGATGCAATAAATATTGAATAATTGACTATGACTGGGAGTTCGTTTCTTGTAAATGAGAGACAGTGTGAATGCCACCTTAAAACCTCAGTGCAGCTGACACCGACTGACATTTTAATAATAATAATCATGATGGTTGATCATCCCATTCGATCTTTACCCCCCAGGACTGTGGGGTTCGATGTCTGCTGCGGTCCCCACCCAAAACCATGGGGGTTCATTCGTGGGAGTGCTGTGGATATCGAAGCCCACAGTTAACAGTTCTGGGGGTATACACTCAATCATAGATTCTTACAAAACTAATTGCCGGCCTCAGTTTTAAGTTATTGTACTGAAAAAGCAAAGAATATTGGTGAATGCAAAAGTCATGTAACAAAGTGCATCATTAAATTTAAAGGATCCATGAAATGAAATTTTCTAAAAATCACTTTTTGTGTATCTCTGTACTCTCCATGTATGAAAACTGTTTGACATCTTGTTTGAGTTATGTTGACTTGAAAGGGGCACATTCAATGTTGATCGAGCATTTCTGGACAAGTGAGGGCGCTTTTGCTTTGCTGTAAATCCAAGGAAGACATGGTTGAGGTTGCATGTTTTCATGTTCAAATTATGAACTCCAAATTTGCTATCTGGGAACATTCAAGTCAGTGAAAAGATTACTTGCTGGCTTTTTGCTACATACTAACATAACAGTAAATTACCAAAGAAAATGAAATCTACCTTCGCAGTATTTAAAAAAGCTAGAAATTTTCTGTGCACAAATTGATGCAACATTGAGATGCAGTGCCTTAGATAACATCATGGTTTTGCTCATGAATATGCAAATATATATTAGCATAAAAACCAATAAGGCTCCAAAATATGGGTTAAAATTGCAAAACAAAAAATTTTAAATGAGGTTAATTGAAACCCAAAGATGCAATTTCAAGGGATTTAGTAAAACTTATAGAACTATTTCTGTTTCATGTTTCCTTTAACCATGTATTATAGAAGGATGAGAAATGGTTAATCAAACTCATTTCTGGAATTATTATATGCAATATCCAATTTCATTCGTCATAATGCCAATTCAAATAATGTAATTTGATACTGTTTCTCACATTTAGACACATTTCGAGTTCTGAACTTCAGACTGCACTTCCAGTCATGGACCTTATTTATCATCTGTCTTGCTTATTCAAAATAATTTGGACCTTTTTTGGTCCGAAGATTGTTGGGTGTTAAATAAAAAGGTATAAGTGCCCGGGTATGGTCCCAGGCATGCAAACTACTCGTAGTTCAGGAATGCATGCTTCTGTAGGTCAATTCATGAAGTTGGTAAATAGGTTTTGGTTGCATGCCAAACAGAAAGTGTGTTATTTTACCATACCGAGCACTTCTATGAGTCACATCTCTTGCAACTTTGGTGTACAAGGTTTTTGTTTCCTGCAGTGACCCATCTATAATATCAGAGCCTGGCACTAAATTGTACATAATTCATTTTTATTTTGTGGCGTGCCTGTGCTATTGTTTTGTCCCAATAATTTTTCCCCTTCTATTATCTGGTGATTCTTCCCTGTCAACCCCCCCATTTGTAAAACAACCCTGAAACAGAAAATGAAAGAGCAACATGAAAAGTTAAGAGCATTTCTACACTGTTACAATAACAGCAAAAAAGAGATCAAACTCCACAGGAGAATTTTTTTTTTTAGGGTTTAACTTTTTGCTTCAGAATCTGCTGCAATGGATAAATGTGTAAACACAGCTCCGAGAGTTGCCAAAACTGAAAAAAAAATTACAATTGTCCAATCTTTTTTAAATGCATGACACATACACGTACATGAACAGGAATTATAATGAGCAATTTGATTGATTAGATATATAAAGTAGAAGATGAGATTTCACATTATTATGTCCATTCGCATTGTGTTGAAACTGTTCCTTTGCCAAACTGCTACCCTGAGTGAGTTTTCTAAATCAGATCAAATATTGACATATTGGTAGTTATTGCCGCTTCGTTATCTGTACGTATGCATTAATTTTTCTTGGAAAAAAAAAACTCTGCATCTAAAGCAATTTCCTCCCCCCCCCCAATTTTCATGATCACCTTGTAGACGATACTTTTGTTGTATCGTATAATTTGTGCATGGTGTTGATAGTCACTGCAGTAATGCATCCGTTGGTTTGTCGCCAATAAAGGGAAGGGGCTGTGCAGTAAAAACAAGTCTGCCGACTTCATGAGAATTTTACTTGACTAGATTTGTGAATACATGTGTGCTGGATGATGTGACAGAATCTTGTGCCCCCCAAAACGATGTATTTTTAACCACTGCGTGGCCATGAAGTTTGGTGCACTTCCAGTGCCATTGGAGTGGAACACTGTACGTGCCTGTTCAGTTAAGTTTGAGATTGAGCCATTTTGGATCAGTCATAAACAATGAAGGGTTGCTGAAAAAAGAAAGTTTTTATCAGAGCTCAGTTGATTTGAACAGCTTGCCGTCCTCTGACATAAGAGTGAATAAACTTGGTCTTGCAAAGTTGTCACCGAGTGGGGTCTGCCATGGTAATCAAGTCTTACTGTATCTTCCATATACTGCCATCTTCGGTGATCGTCAGGAATAAGGAGCTTCTAAGGTGTTGCATGTAGAAGACTCGATTGAAATAGGAAAGACCAAGGATGGAATAAGATGGTATTCACGGTAAAATGTGTCTTCACTGACAAGTGTGACATTCAATTGAATGTACAGTACAGTGTGAGTAAATAATGCAGTTTTTCAGAACCACTGAAAACAGGTCTTAACAGGTCATCTCCTGCAGTGACCATAAGTTCTCATCTAAGCAATACATTGCATTTCAGTGAACTCAACTCTTGCACAAGAAACTTGATCAAACAACTGTTATTTAAAGTAAAAAAAAAGCGAACAAAATCTTCATCACAGATATGGTTTTGAATATGCTACTAATTAAAAAAGTATTGTAATCAACCATTCTTATTTACATTTTCACGTTTGTTTACTAAAGCTTGTGGTATGTATTCACCCATAGAATATCATTTGTGCCATGTACCGTGTCGCAAACCTCAAGTTGCCAGTTATAGCAGTTGTCTTGTAAGAGCCAGAGTATGTATAATGAAAAAGCTGTAGGGTTTACACTGTACCTATTATTGCTTGATAGCGTAGCCTTGAAGCTATCGGGAGGAATCAAACCATTTGCATGCATAGATCTGCATTCATGAAAGTTAACACCTGCGTGCAACCTGCTGCATTTTTACCAATTAATTAATCTTCAGTTGAATGTAACTAATTTCCAGCTATAAGCCATAAACCATGTGCATATTGCTGCCATTTCAAACATTTAGTATAACATGATAGTTGTGTTTTTAATGTCACGATCTATTGAAGTCAACCACAGTTAACACGTGCAAGTCAGTATAGTGCCCAGTGGGTTAAAATCTCTGGGAAAAACCAAGTAATAAGTTGAGTTTTTTTTTGTTCTTTTTGTTTACTTCATGACATTTTCTCTCGCTTAACAGTGAATGAGCAGCGTATATATGTACATGCTACTTCGGGTTTTTTTCAAAGCTGAGTTGTTATTAAGGCAAAGAGTTATGCTTCCTGTTAATTCCCTCCTTCCTATTTTGATGGTGCCACCCTAAAGTTTGTCGGGGGGGGGGACTTTGAAAAAATGTGAAATCAGAAACAAAAATTTTTTTCTTAGTTTGAACATGGTGCAAAAAGATTCACTGTGTACCATTGTATGTTATGCAGCCAGCTAGCATGACTATTGCTCTTTAACACAAGTTCCTCTCATGTGAAACAAATGCCGCCTGACCTCTCTTGCTGTTGTTATTTTTAACCACTTAATGCTTATTAATTTGCACACTAATCAGTAGTTTAAATAAAGTGAATGAAAAGTTCTGTTTGATAATCCTGTCTTCAAATGCATATTTTATATGTGAAGTGAACTTTTTTTCTGGCTTACATATAATTGCATATTCTGGGGCTTTAGCTGCCGGTAAAATTGCAATGATTTTATGCCTACTCACCACAGCATGACATTCATGATTCATTAATTATTTGTTTCTGTCAAACATTTCCCAGGCGCAATATTATCACATGGAAAACAAACAAACAAACAAACAAACAAACAAACAAACAAACAAACAAACAAACAAACAAACAAACAAACAAACAAAATAAATTAGTTAATTAAATTAGATAATTGAATATTACAGAGCTCATGCATTCTCAGAACTCCCAATTGCTTGTACACTTTTTTTTTCCTTAGTTACTTCTGTCAAACATTTCCCAGGCACAATGTTATCACATGAAAAACAAAAAAACAAACAAAATTTGTTGAATGCACCTGGTCATATGGTTTGCAGTTAACATGTACAACCACCAGCCAGTGCGTTCAATTTTCAGGAAAGATGTACCGTATTGGTGTTAGCACACTGAGCTAGCTGCGGGCACATATAAATAAACATGCACACACACATGCCGGCTCGCTTTCCTGATTTGAAGTCCTCATCATTGAT